ACGGGAAGCGAAAGAACGAGCAAGACCCATTGCTGGTATAATAACAACCTGGTACTAAGCACACAGGCATCTTGTTAAAGTTATCTTATCTTAGCCAGCGCCATATAGATAGATTATATCTATATGGCGCTGATCGTATATATACGGTATTATACGTATATCGTAGTGTCTCAATTGTGACATCACTTACGCGACTCTGGGATTTGTAGTCTTTCTAGTTGCGTATTTTTCATAGTCTTATATTTCAACAGTTTTACGACAAACTGTGACTTTTTTGACATGGAAATGATTTTTTAAGATTGACAAACATCATATGTGTAATTCATGGCACAATTCAAACGGGATCGAAAGATAAGTTTTCTCTCCCCATTGACTTCAATGCATAATTTTTCCGAAATAAGGTCCCATTACCCGGAAGTAAGTGGGCGTGACTTCGCCACTCTATTAGCCTATATGCTATGCAGAGACTGCCTTCTTCATGTCGTGAATTGCAGCTGATGTTTTAATTTGGCAAAAGTTTGACATTTGACTTGTACAACATTCGCAAGTTGTACATTTGACTCATACAATAACCCACCTTCGAGTGATGCTCTAGTTTTGTTTGTTTTTCCCTCTTGCTTGCGCTGAAACTGTCTTTTCGCCGACATCTCTTCACCTGCACGAGTGGCCGTAGCAAAGCCGTGATTGGTCAGATGTCGATTCATTGCAACGGTGTCGGGTTACAGACGTGCTCCCCTTGTCACCTCTCACTCTCGCGTGTCAGCGGGGGGGGGGGCTGAGAACTGCTCACAAGCCAAGCTCATAATCCGAGGCCTCCTGCGCAATGTGAGGCCCCATGCAGCCTGCATGATCGGCCTGTAGGGAGGGACGGCCCTGGTTGTATTTAACATCTGAATTTGGCGAAACAAGTTTAATATTCTAAAAACCAAGACTTTGTTTATTTGAATTCAGATGAAAACAAACTGTCACGGACCCTGCTGTGTTATCTATGATTACTATACGGCTTTCATTCATAATTTCAGCCGGAGGGAGGGGGAGCGGCGCTGAGGAATAGCAGAGTGCGGGTTGACAGGTGTCTGTGTTGACATTCCCCTTATTGTGGAATACGGGGAATGCAGAGACAGGCTACAAGTGTCTTAGGTTCATGTTAGACAACTAATGTCTGGGTAGTGTTCATGACTTGATGTTTGTCATCTTAATGGTTAATCTCAATGCACACACATTTTCCGTGCTTTCCAATAGTTTAAAATAGTTTTATTCCACTGTTAAATAACCTGTTCAATACAAACATGCCACTTGTAAAAATTAAATAACATTTCTGTGAACTGATGTTTGTTTAGTGAGCTTATTAGAGGATGTTCCCTAAAAGATGTCAATGAAGATGTCAGACTTAGTATATTTGTTAATAATTACATACAATACATGGAATTTGTGTGTGTGTGTTCCAAGTGAATCTGCGGCCCCCTGGCGGCCAGTACATACATTATGTGGCCCCCACCACCATCCAAGTTGCCCATCCCCGACCTAGATATTAACGTTGGTTGTATCGAAGTTAGATTCCTTTTCAATAGTAAAGTACAAGTACCTCTAAATAGTACTTAAGTACAGTACTTGAGTAAATGTACTTAGTCACTTCTCGCCTCTGCTATTAACCTAAGACGTAGCTGTAGCTTTGTTTTGTTGTGTCTGTCGGTTGTATTGAGTTATCTTGTTTTGTGTCAGCTGTAGTTGTGTTGATTATTTCAGAGACACAGCCGGAGAAGGAGCACTGAGAGCAGCATGGAGGAGAACAAAAAGACCCCTGGAGCTCAGGTCAGTGTGCACTTCATCACAATATATTCCTAACACTGTTATCCCCAAATGAAAGATCACAACCTGTTTAGAAAATATAATATTAATGCACAATATGGTTAGATATAGATTAGTACGTTGCTCTATTTAAATTGTATTTATTTTTTACATTTATCACATTACACAAACACAACCGAACATTCCCCAAGATTAGACATATGGCAGATTACAAAATAATGCTAATAATAATGCTAATACAGCTGACATAAATGACAGTGTCCTCAGCATACATGTGCACCTCACATCCAGTGCCCACTGATGGCAAGTCATTTAGCGCGTTCACACCGGAGTACTTTTCCCACAATAGTTCATCAGAACTACGATATATTTGCGTTCACACCAAAAAGCTCCCTGAACTAAATTAGTTCATCAGAACCATTTTTACCCCGTTTTTAAGCTTTCGTGGGAGAAAAAAGTTCATACGTCTGATTGGCTGTGCGGAATGCAAATTAATGCTATTAATTTGGGCGATGCTGCGGCCAAATAATCGCTCTGATCCGGTGAGGTGGGGGCATCTTGCGGAAGAGCAATCAGCAAGACGCCCAATCACTCTAGAGCTAGGGTTACAATACGTAACCCACCGTTCTTGCCACAGGGCCTGAATTTCTGTTGAAAGGAAACCTATCTCCTCCTAGGATGATAGATTTGTCTCTCTTATGCCCCTGAATGGAGGAGGGATGCTGCAAAACTGGAGTGAGTAACCCAGTCTCAGTGTCCTGTCCATCCACTGTCAGTAAACAGCTGAGCTTCCATTCCCCATAAAACTGTGTTAAGGGACATGCAAGCAGCTGTGGAGCCGCAGCTAAGAAGCTGTAGTACTCTCTGGTGGCCTACTCCGCTGCCAAACCATCCATAAAATAAAGTTTGGCCCATGGGGGGCTGACAGAGAAAGGGCCGATTTTCTACGGACGTCCTTGAACGCACCGCGGCCACTCTCACTGGGCCGCGCACCTTCGTATGAAATGCATTAATCGGAGCTATTATACCAGGCAAAGTGTGTTTTCTGACAACAGCACGCCGGCAATAGCGTCATTTGAACCCGCACATTGCTTTGACAGCACTTTCTGCGGTTTATTCCACTCACGTGCGCACGCTCAACTGCTGCTTCCTTTACTGGAGTTACAGTGGGGCGGCGAGTGTCGGACAGTCTTCTGTCCTCTGAGGATGAGCGAGAAACAGCATACGCCAAGCTGCGACTACTCCTCATCCACGTGACCAAGGAAATCAATCCAAAGAGCCCTTCCATAGACACGGGGGTTCCCAGGAGATCATCACGGGCCTGCTCTCCATCCCCCGCTCTCGCCTCCGAACTGTTGGTGACAGGGCGTTCAGTGTTGCGGCCCCCGCCCTCTGGAATGCACTCCCTGACGAGATCCGTAATGCTGCCTCCCTGGACATCTTCAAATCATCATTAAAAACACACCTGTTCACCCTGGCCTTCGGGCCCTAGTCCTTTCTTGGTCCCCCGACTTCCTTTATTTTTTGTCTGCCCTTTGATTGTCTGTTTGTTTTGTTTGTCCACCATGTACAGTGCCCTTGGGTCCCTTGAAAGGCGCTATATAAATATAATTTATTATTATTATTATCACAGTCTTTTTTTTTTTTTTTTTTTGGAAAGTGCCATGCGGCGTGATCCCCCAGGGACATCACACGGCAAGCAGCGGCGGCCAGACCGTAGACCAGGCTATTAATTTGGGCGATGCTGTGGCCAAATAATCGCTCTGATCTGGTGAGGTGGGGGCATCTTGCGGAAGAGCAATCAGCAAGACGCCCAACACACCCGTGTTCATTTGCAGCCGCCCTGTCACGCGGCAGCGAGGCAGAGGTTCTCTGCCCAGCCTGCTGCCTGCTGGAAGCAGATGGGCTGCCACAGGAAGTCCTGGCGGACAGACCTGGGCGGTGGACTTCCATGGACGCCGGACCCGGAAGTGCCCGACAACGAGAAGTCCTAGTCATCCTCCTCCCCGGCAAACGGTGCTATCCGCCCCGCTGGAATGGCGAACGTGAATGGCGAACGTGAATGGCGAACGTGAATGGCGAACGTGAATGGCACCGCCTCGGCCATATCCTGGTCCCCCAAACACTCGAAGCAGAGGTGGTGGGGATCGGCGCCCGATATTAAGCCAGGGCACAAAGGACAGGCCCGGGTCTCTAGAAGTGGCGACTCCATGAAGGTATGATAACTTCTTTCTTCTTCTTTCAAACGTTTTACTTTCTCTGAGGTGTTGACCTGCTCGCTGAAGAGAAAAGGATGACAGGATCAGGAGGCGTGGTCGCCTTATATACTGTGTGCCTGCGCACGCATTCAGGTAGGCACGCCCTGATTGGCCGGCTACGTTTATACAAACTTAGTGTGTGAATGCTCGCATAGCATGGTTGAGAGTAGTACCCATAAAGTCCAGTAGAGGGCGGAGCCTGTGTGAGATATAACAGTAACCCCCCACCCCTGCCCACAGCTCTATCTTTCCTAAAAACATTAAAGCCAGGAATATGTATGGCTGAGGATGGGGAGTTTTTATTTAACCAAGTCTCTGTCAAACATAAATAGTCCAAGTTAGAGTCTGTTAAGATATGTTTTATCTGATCACTTTTTGGAACAAGACTGCGGATATTCAAGTGACCCCCCAGCAGACCACTGGGTTTTGCATGATGGTCCCACAGCACTCTGGCATTGTTCACTGTTTGAAAGAAGTTGCATTTTCGCAATTTTTTAATTGCTGGATTTAATCCTGCGGCTTTCCGTCGAGAGGGTGCCGACTATTGTTCTGAGTGAGTTCTGGATCGGCCCACGCTTGCCTGGACCGTTGCAGAGAGTGTTGACAGGAAGAATGGAGTTTGTTGGTTTGAGATCGACTGGTTGTGCGCTGCCCCCGGGGGCTGGATAACTATCGCCCTTGGCGTGGAGATCAATAGGGTCTCCAGTTGAGTCTTTTATCTCGAGTCCCCCACCATACTGTGGTTAGAATTATGCCGTATTACTGTATCAAATATAATGCAAATATAATAAACACAAAGTTAGTACAAGTAGTGTTTTGTTAACTGTATATGTATTAAGTGAGTTTTTATTGTGTTAACTCTATATGTATTTGTGCTTTTTAGATTTACTTTCTCTCTTTCTCTGTCCGTCTATTTTAGAAACCGAAAGGAAGAGAGAGACGTCACAGCTGTCAGCAATGTCACAAATCCTTTACAAAATCTGGAAATTTACAGCTCCACCTGCGTATTCATACTGGAGAAAAAACGTACAGCTGTGAAGAGTGTGGGAAAACATTCACTAGATCAGATCATCTCAAAACACATCACCGTAAACACACTGGAGAAAAACCGTACAGCTGTGAAGAGTGTGGGCAAACGTTCACTACATCAGGTTCTCTCAAAACACATCAACGTATTCACACGGGAGATAAACCGTACAGCTGTGAAGAGTGTGGGAAAACATTCACTCAATCAAGTAATCTAAAATCACATCACCGCATTCACACTGGAGAAAAACCATACAGCTGTGAAGAGTGTGGGAAAACGTTCACTCAATCAGGTGAACTCACAATCCATCACCATATTCACACTGGAGAAAAACCATACAGCTGTGAAGAGTGTGGGAAAGCATTCACTACATCAGGTCATCTCAAAGCACATCAACTTGTTCACACTGGAGAAAAGCCATACAGCTGTGAAGAGTGTGGGAAAACATTCACTGGATCAGGTAATCTCCAAACACATCAACGAGTTCACACAGGAGAGAAACCTTACAGCTGTGAAGAGTGTGGGCAAACGTTCAAGACATCAGGTGCTCTCAAAACACATCAACGTGTTCACACTGGAGAGACACCGTACTGGTGTGAAGAGATGCTGTTTTCTCCCTAACCCATCATGTATTTTCCTAAATCTGACTAACAGTTTTTTATGTTCTAACCAGCGTTCACACTATGCCAAAACAAGGCCACAGCGATGCTGTTTCTCCCGATGTAATTCAAATAATTGTTCTACTATGCTATGGTTCAACCATGGTTTTCTAATAGTCTTGCTATTCCTTTTATAAAATATTATATGTCCAGGGTTTAATTGCTAGCCTCGTTAAGCTGCATTGAAGGAATTTAGTTTCAATGTTCATTAATATGCCGAGTAGTTTCTCCAATAATCAGTTTGGTTATTAAAATGTTGTGACTTTAAACTTCGATTGGGATTTTTTGATAGTTCCTGTTGAGTTAGCAGTCTGCTCTGATCTAAAAGAAGAACCAATGATGAATGTATCTAGAAAATATTCACAATGTTTTCAATTTGATTCTGTTCTCTTCTGGTTAAATGATCAGAATGTACCAAAAATAAAAAAGGCCTTAGAAACAGACTCAAGAATGAGTGCGGACATCCGGTGAGCAAGGCGAGTGAGATGGCTGCTTAATTTTTAGCTCTCGATAGCGATTGGAAATCAACCCCTTTAACTCGCCAAGTAATATACAAATCCATGTAATTTTATTGGAATGAGAGGGGGAAAGAGAACTAGAAGTCAAAAGAAAGGTGACAAACTAGAAAGACAAAATTCACCAGAGATGGAAGACGCTCAAAGCTCCGTTAGCTCCGTTAGCTCACAACAGGACTCGGCAGACTCCATGCGCTCAGTGCTCCAGGAAATACGCGATTTCAGGGCTGAGTATAAAGTGGACTTAAACAAACTTAAAGAAGAAATCAAGGGAGACATGAAATCTGAACTCGAAGATATGAAGCAGGAAATTTACCAAAAACTTTCTGCGAAGTCCGCGCTAACCCAGGCCCACGAAACTAGGCTGAAAAAAGCGGAGGAACGAATCGATGAGGCGGAGACAGTAAACATGGCTATGTCAGATGTGTTGATTAAATCAATGAAAGAACAGAGAGCCATGCAGGGGAAACTGGTGGATTTGGAAGGTCGATCCAGGAGAAATAATATGCGCATTTATTTACCCGAAGAGAAGGAAGGTAACTCCATGTCTGACTTTGTGGATCAACTTTTGAAAACTGAACTCGCTTTACCGGACACCAACCTACAGATACAACGCGCTCATAGAGCTGTGGCTCGCAAACCGGAAAGGAATGCACCGCCAAGGTCCATAGTGGTGAACTTTCTGGAGTTTACTACCAAAGAAAGGGTACTGAAAAAGTAATAATAAGTAATAATATAAAATTGGTGTCACTTAATGTAAATGGGATGAATAATCCAGTTAAAAGGAGCAAAGTTCTGGCTAAATAAAATAAAAAGTACTATTTTCACAAGAAACTCATCTACCTCAACAGGGGCATGAAAAATTAAAATGCTTTGGTGGAAATACATTCTATAGTTCAAACCTAGCCAGAAGAGGGGAGTGGCTATCCTTATTTCAAATGCAGTTCAATTTGAACTCCATAAAGAAGTTAGGGATAAAGAGGGACGATATGTATTAGTGAAAGGAAAACTTGAAAATGCAGTGGTGACATTGGTCAATGTATAGTAAAAAAAATCTGTTTGACGTCATTGCATTAGAGACTGAGGGTATTTTGATATGTGGAGGGGATTTTAATGTGGTCCTGAATCATACCATAGACACTACAAGCCACAAAAATAGCAAGAAGCACCTGACCAAGTTTGTTAATGCGTCAGTGCAGGAAATGGGACTAATTGATATTTGGAGGGAACTTCACCCCCTAGAACGGGATTATACACACTATTCAGTACCCCATTCTGTGTACTCCAGAATTGACTACTTTTTAATGAATACGGGTGAAAGTCACAGGATCACAGAGAGTAAAATCGGGGTGGCAGATGTTTCAGATCATAATATGATTAGCTTGTCAATAAATCTGAATAGTAGACAAAATAATACAGTGTGGAGGCTCAATGTGGGTGTTTTGAATAATAAGTCGGCCGTGGAACAGTTAAGGGAAGAGATACAAATATATATAGAGGAGAATGATAATGGGGATGTGGACCCTGGGATACTGTGGGATGCTTTGAAGGCTGTTCTCCGTGGAAAGCTGATCGCCCTAACAGCATCACAAAAAAAGGCCCGGCTAGCCACATACAAAATAGAAAAATTGAGAGAAATGGAGACAAAACATAAGAGTACAGGGGATCAATCGGCATTACAACAAATTAAGGAAACAAGGGGCGAGATAAATGAGATCCTCAGAGGAGAAATTGAAAAAAAGGCAAGGTTTTTAAAGCAGTCTTATTATGAATCAGGCTCAAAAGCAGCTAGACTCCTAGCTAGACGCCTGCGCAAACAGCAAGCCTCTAATACAATTCATAGAACAAGGGACCCCCAAACTAATCAACTATTGTATGAGCCGGATGAGATAGAAAGAATATTTGAAGAGTACTATAAGACACTCTACTCTAATCCACCATTAGCTGATGAAAGCACAATAAGAAACGTTCTTAACTCGCTTGATCTGCCATCTATAGGTGAGATACAGAATGACACCATTACGTCGCAATTTACAGTTGAAGAGCTGGAAGCTGCAATCAGTAGGCTAAAGACCAGTAAATCACCGGGCGGCGATGGGTTCCCACCAGAGTTCTATAAAACGTTCACGAAGGAGCTAACACCTCTGCTTCTGTTTTGTTTTAATTGGACTCTTAAAGAAGGCAGGGCTCCCCCATCTTGGAGAGAAGCAATTATTTCCATTTTGCCTAAGGAAGGCAAAGACAAAGACCACTGTAAAAATTATAGGCCAATTTCTGTTTTAAATGTGGACTACAAGCTGTTTACCTCAATCATCTGTAAATGATTTGAGACTTTTATGCCTGATCTTATTCATGAAGATCAAACTGGATTCATTAAAGGGCGCCAAACACAAGACAATATCAGAAGGACTCTCCATATTGTAGACAATGCACATAAAAAGGGCACAAGTATGGTTCTGGTTAGTCTGGACGCAGAAAAAGCATTTGACAGTGTCAGTTGGTCTTTTTTATATGAAGTACTAAGGAGGTTTGGTTTAAATTGCATTACATTACATTACATGTTACTTGTTAGACGCTTTTATCCAAAGCGACATACATACTCAGTACTGTGGACAATCCCCACAGGAGCAATTTGGGGTGAAGTGTCTTGCCCAGGGACACAACGACATGCTGACTGCAGTGGGACTCAAACTTGCTATCCCCCTGATTCAAAGTTCAGCGCACTATTCCACTGAGCCACAGCCTCCTAAATGAAAATGCAATTCTGTGTATTAAGACTATTTATCATGAACCTACGGCTAGGATCAAAGTAAATGGGAGTTTGTCCAATAGGATTCAGCTGGAGAGAGGCTCTAGACAGGGTTGCTGTCTCTCTCCTATTCTCTTTGCTTTATTTGTTGAACCATTGGCGCAAGCAATAAGGCAGAGTGAAGATCTGCAGGGTGTCAATATAGGGGGGAAAGATCATATCATTGGGCTTTTTGCGGATGATGTTATAGTTTTCCTTGAGCAACCAGATGTATGTTTCCCAAACCTGATGAACCTACTCGACACATATGGTTACTATTCTGGGTATAAAGTGAACGTAACAAAAACTCAAATTCTCTCATTCAATTATTCCCCATCCCAACAAATTAGACATGCATATAACCTAAAATGGAATTCCAAATCAATGACTTATCTTGGTGTAACTATAACCAAAACATTTTCCAACCTGTTTGAAGCCAATTATAAAAAAATTGATGACAATATCCGAAAGGATGTAGAAAGGTGGTCCACCCTCCCTTTAGACTTCAGTGCCAGAATACAAACGGTTCAAAAGAATATCCTACCTAGGCTGCTGTATTTTTTTCAGTCTCTTCCAATTGATGTTCCCCAAAACAAATTCATAACCTGGGACAGGATGATTTCTAGATTTGTTTGGAATAGTACAAAACCAAGAATACGATTTACGACACTTCAGTTGCCTAAAAGTAAGGGGGGAATGGCTTTACCAAATCTTAGGGAATACTTCTATGCAGCCCAACTTAGACCTTTGGCCTACCGGTGTAGACCAGATTATGAGTCTGGATGGAAAGCCATGGAAAGGGACGTGCATGGTCACCACATTCAGGCCTTGGTAGGAGATAGGAATTTGGTGAGGGCTCTGAGAGGTGAAATGAATATGATAGTTTCGTTTACACTAGGGGTCTGGAATGTTGTAGTAGCAAAATACAAATTTAAAGAGAGGGATACACACGCTGAGGTGGTTTGCATACGATTCCAATTTTAAACCAGGGGTGTACGACCCAGCATTCAAATAATGGGTGCAAAAGTGCATAACAGCAATGTGTACGGTTTCAGAAAGGGGTGAATTGATGGGTTTTCAGGACTTCCAGGCAAAATATTACAGGATTATTTTAGATACATGCAGTTAAGACACTATTTTGTAAAAGAGATAAGGCTGAATGCAGATGAATCTTTAGATACTGTAACTGGGTTTGTGGATGCATATCAGCAGAAGGGGTCTCGGATCAGTTCTGCTTTCTACCTGGCTTTGGGGGGAAACAGGGGGGAATCGACTATCTACATAAAAGCAAAATGGGAAGCAGAGTTACAAATTAAAATTTCAGAGGAAGAATGGTTTCAAACGTTCGAGATGCAATTTACATCCACAAACTCATTAGTATGGAGGGAATTCTGCTCGCTTTTTCATAACACCCAAAATAAAGAGCAGGCAACTTGGTGTACAGCAACAGTGTTGGAGGTTGTGTGGGAACATGGAGGCTGACCACTCACACATTTTTTTGAGACTGTACAAAGATAAGGTCATATTGGGAGAAGGTTAATGCAGTTGTCAAAATTATTATGGGTTATGGAATCCCAAATACCTGCCTGGTGATGTATCTTGGGAACATTAAGGATGTTGTGATGGGAGGC